ACAAACTATTTTTTTTCATATGACCCTCCCTACAGTCGAGGGAATAACCGATGGATAGAGAATTTGATGGTAAACATTGTTCATAGAATGATCGACCATTGGCTAAACCAAAATAACTGCCATCATTATTGACTAGATCAAAAAGTATTGTCCAGTTATTTGTTGGTAAATCATTATGAATTATGAGAAATGATCTTTGTTCATTTCTAGATGTTTTTATATATGTAATAATAGCTTTCACAGCATACATAGAATTTAAACCATGTGATGAACCAAAATCAGCAATAATGAGTGATTGCATCGATGAAAGACAAAAAAGATCAAGAACATCAATAGCTTGTTGAATGAATGGTAATGAAGATTCAACTGTACGCATTTGTAAACGTGAATTTGAATTGTAAGAACCGGTCATACCATTGATTGCAGCCGACATATTGTAATTTTGCTTGTTTATCAAACCTATTAAGAAGCACAAGTAAAACTGAAGGAGAGGCAACAACAATTTGTGGGTGATTTTGCTTTCCTTATCTTCTTACATAGGTTATCTTTAAAAAAAATTAACAAATGAAAGAAATAATGTTACTATCTGTTGGCTTTTTATTTTTCGATCTTTTCTAATCAGACTGAGGTAATGGTAAACAGAAAAAATGCTCTTTTCACTTCTACACATGATAGGTCTATAAGTTCTTCGAGTTTTTTTTCTATATTTTCTTTATGACGTTTAGATGTTACATTATTTTGAATTTTTTCGAAGTTTTAAAATTGCTTCTCGATGACAAAAATATTATATTATTGTCGATTTTATTAAAAACTTGAAGTTCTATTGTTATTATAGATATCGCAGAAAATTTATCAAATCAAGAGGTGCATTATTCAATGAGAAGAAAATATTCCACTAATAATTGAAATCTGAAACATTCATAGTGTGATAAATGATTTCAAACATCAGAATTCTGTTCAGTTTTCTATGAAAAGAGATAAGGGTGTGGGTGTGGATGTCACTCTTCTTGTGATCGACATCCACATCCACCACCCTAGGTTTTCTGGTTGTTTGCTTCTACTTTGAGCACAGTAAAAATATGTGAATACATCCATTTCTTGGATGACTTATTGACAGATGAAATGGGTTGTATGAAATAAGACGGAAATTTCGCGCTCACTGTTCTTGGTATTGCCTGTTTGCGAAGTATGGCCAAAACTCTTCCCTCCAAATGGTCAGAAGTTATAAACTCAAGCTTACTTCATATGATCCATCTCATTTCTCAATAAATCATCGAAAAATGGATGTATTCACATATTTTTATTGTGCTCAAAGTAGAAGCAAACAGCCAGAAAATCACTATGTGCTGCGTGAATGTCTCGAACTCCTCTGTGCATATGTCCTAGGCAAAATTGAACTTTAGGCAAAATTAAACTTAGACAAAATTGATTTGTAGTTAGGCGCGAAATGAAGAAATTATTTTCTTTCATATGAAAATGAATTCAAGTTTTCATTTTGATTAAGAAAACAGAACGCACTTAGTTTTTTAATCAAATAAACTTATTATGTTCATTTCTCACCGATCCATACTCTTTGGAAGTAACCCAACACCAGGTTCTGCTTCGTCTCTATTGCCTTTTTATCCACAGATTTGTAAACAAATTATGAAAATACCTCACGACAAAACCGATCGATAACATGAAACAAATTGCTAACAAGGCTTTATAACTAATTGCATTATTTTTATATTAATATCTTAGAATTCTACCGTGTGTGGTGAACTGTAGGATTGAGTATCGATGTCTTTTTAGCACAATGTTGTCTTGCACAATCAAAACTGTATCTTCTCTTCATTAAATTCAACTAATCTAGAAATAGTCACACATGAGGGAACATAAAAAAGAGGGTCAGAAGTTCAGGAAGATGTCATACAAGCGAAGTATAACGACTAATGACTGTTACCTTGGATAAGAAAAATACTTATCTAGCAGATTTGTGACAACCCATAAGCGTCTTCACTACTTCCTGCTCGAAAAAAAAATCAGTAATGTGAATGGAATAGGTGACACGTATTTAAATAGCTATGAAAATGTAGAAGTAGTTCTGCGAGATTGAATAGCCATTAAACACAATATCCCAAAACTAGAACTAAGCAACTACTGAAACTCGTTCTCTTCGTTGTTACTTAAAGCTATTCATATGGGAAAATTGTATCTCTTTTGAGAATGAACTATTTTTAAAAACAGGCAAACTAACATATTCATTTATTGAGTATTAATTGCCGAGTGAATATCGTTGCTATTACATTATGAGAAGACATAAATTAAAGTCTTTCGTTAGTTTGTTAGATGCGATAGAACTCGGTTAAACATAATAACGTCATCTGTATTGTTTGCATATTATCTATGAACCATACTGTATTCGAAGGGAAGCAGTTAGGTATCGATGAGAATTGATGTCTGATTATAAAGAACATCCTTTCTTTTTTTTTTGGTCGGGCTGATTACGGTCAGTTCAATGTCAGTGGAATATATTAGTGAACTCCACATCTTCCCAAGCTTAGTTTAATTTCTATTGAATATAACCCGCGCATTCTATATCTTCCTAAACTTAGATCAATTTGCATTTAACACAACTTGCGAACTCTACATCTTCCAAGCTTAGTTTAATTTTTATTGAATATAACTCGCGCACTCTACATCTTCCTGATCTTAGTTCAATTTGTATGTAATACTACTCGCGAACTCTACATCTTCCTAGACTTAATTTAATTTGTATGGAATACAACTTACGCACTCTATGTTCTGTCAAATTCTATAGTTACAAAAATAAACAAGTTTCCTTCAATCTTTTTTAAAAATTATGTTAAAATAACAAGTCTTTCAAACCTAGTTTAATTTTGCCTAAATCTCAATTTTGCCTGACACATATACATGTACAGCACTAAGTTAGTAGATTAGGTACATAACTATATCAGCTCATTCATATCACTGATATACGGATTTACCCAATACGACATTATACAAAGAATGCAAAAACTACTAAAATAGCCAATTTTGGGGTATGCAATTCTCTATCATAATATGATAATTATCTATCAATTCTAGTCGTGTTGAATACATATATCTAGTGTCCATTTAAGAATATAATAATCAAAGATTCAATGAGTTTCTATTGCTGAGTAGGTAATATAGATTGTTACCCTATATTTGCATATAGTGAAAAAGTGATACATTGTGGTCAATCTTTCTCATGCAAGCAGAATTCGAGAGCATATTGGATTATAGTACAATGAAGTACTAGCCCTAGTTTATTAGCCAATATACATATTTAGTTTGTCTTGCTACTTTAGATTTCTTGAAATTGAGTAGGATAAAAAAGTCCATTTTTCGCATGAACTATCCCATTGGAGACATAGGCAAGCAATAAACAACAACCATCGAATTCGATGAAACGTTCAACGTTTCTAGAGCTTTCAATTATAAATATTTTGATAAAAAATCTTTAAAAAAAATGTTCTTTTCAGGAAGATAGACTCAAAATACTTTAAACAGAAAAATCGAAAAAGACAGTTTTTAGCATGATTTTGACGGATGGTATTTGATAGTTTACTGTGTTGAAACAAGATCAAAAATAAAATCTAACGAGGGAACCTTTTCAACTGTCCAATCGCTTTTGAGTTCGAACTCAGTTTGAAAGATAGACCCCAGTGAGGTATGAAAAGGCCCAAAAGGATAAGTGCCCATAGGCCTTCCGTCCAGAGTTATAGGCATTTTACTGGATTTTTAGCCTATGGCACAGTATATACCAAAAAATCGAATGACAATATTTCGAGCTGAGATTGTGTCCAAAGATAGGTCTATGTACCAATAGAATGCCCTGAAAATTTCAGCTCAAAAGAATGTTCCAATCTCGAGATATTGAACACCCAAAAGCCAAAAAATTCTAGCATCATTCGCGGGATATGCGTGATTTTTGGGAGTTTAATATCCCGAGATTGAAACATTCTTTTGAGCTGAAATTTTCAGGGCATTCTATTGGTACATAGACCTATCGTTGGACGAAATCTCAGCTCGAAATATTGTCATTCGATTTTTTGGTATATACTGTGCCATAGGCTAAAAATCCAGTAAAATGCCTATAACTCTGGACAGAAGGCCTATGGGCACTTATCCTTTTGGGCCTTTTCATACCTCACTGGGGTCTATCTTTCACACTGAGTTCGAACTCAAAAGCGATTGGACAGTTGAAAAGGTTCCCTCGTAAGACCATATTCGGATCCCTCGTGAAAAGGCAGATCGAATCATACCAATATTAACTTTAAGTTTAAAAATAATCGCATCTCATATATCATCTGATTACTTACCGATCATACAATATTCGGGACTTTTATTTATTCTGAAATACAGAATTGCACGATATGGTGGCAAAGTATATTTGATAGACTGTTACTTTTTCTACAAACTTGGTGACTTTCATGGAAATTAGAGTTACTGTTTTGTGGCTCTTACAAGTTTCCAACTCGAACAGTCTTAAGGATACCCAGGTCGATCATTACGACGATCGTAAACGAGCCGTACACGACCGTTTACGATGACGTAAACGACCGTAACCCAAAAAATTACGACCGTATACGGGCCGTAAATCAACCATTTTATATGCGCCGTATTACGGCCGTATGACGCCGTGTCGTATACGG